TTAACTTAAATATTTAATATTCTATAGATTTAAATCATTATGCATCTTTTAATTCTGTATATGGAATTAAAACAAATAAAAGTCATTGTCCTTCTTTATTATTAAATCAAGAAGAACAAGAACGTGGTTCTAATAGTCTATATACATACAAAAAAATTAGTGGATGGGTAGAATGTACTGCTTGTAGTAAATGGCGCTGTCTTTATAGTCAAAATTCCCTCAATGAAGAAGAAGAATTACAATGGCAAACAGCTCTTCAAAATAATTTATATACTTGTGGTGGGCCTATTTTATATTAGAAGATCATCAATTATATAATATTCTTTTTGTTCGTGAACATGTTTTCTGTAATTCACCAATTGAAACAAATTATTATGCTTGTGAACATGGTGATAGAATTCAACTTTGTTATTGGTGTAGAACTGAAGATAGTTTATCTGATTTACCTAAATTATTAACTGATCAGTATAAAATAGTTTATCATGTTGTAAAACATGTAAAGAATTAGGAAAAGATCATTTTACTCATTTGGAGATTAAAGTTGAGAAAAATAGTAAAAAAAGAAAGGAAAAAGCTTAAATCTATAATCTATTTTTTAAATAAATAATGTTTAAACAATTTTTTATATAGTAATAAAACATTTTCAAAAAAATTTTTAAAAAAAAAAATTGAAATTTTACTATATAAACCCTCTGAAGCCCCCCCTCTTTCATAATGAAAATGTAATGTAAACCACTGAATTAAATTGGGGTCGCTTTAGATTTTAATGAGATATATGTAAAATCTCTCAAGGAAATTTTTTTGTTAGGGTGCAGAAGTGGTTACTTATGAAAATTTTTGAGAAATAAGCAATTGTTGTAAAAGCGAACGTTTGTTTTGAATTTCCTGATTATGTTACATTGCACAAAATCTGGATTCGTTATTAGGGAACGTCTAAAGCCGTGTCCAGTTACGTGTTTTTTTATTTTTTAATTAAAGTTAGGGTAAGGGTTAGTTTGGGGTTAGGGTCAGGGCATATTTTATAGTAAAATTGTTCTCTCGACATTTTTTATTAATGCACCAAGATGAGTTTAGACTATCATTTCTTGTATTTTTTGTGAATTTCACTTTTTTTTTGCTGTTTTTGTCTCTTCAGGCTGATCCATGTCGATCAAAATAAACAATTCTATTGGCTTTAGGTCACGTGATAGATACGGCTTTAGACGACCCCCGTTCAGGGACCCGTAAAAATTGTTTTGAGTAACAGGAAAAAATATTTTGGCAATGCCTTAATATTGTTTTTTATTGCGATATCAAATTTAGTATAAATTATGTTAATCAAAATGTGACTATTGCTATTGATTACATATAAGTAAACCTTATTATAAATTCTAAAAAATCATTCTACTATATTTTTCAGTTATTACAGAGTTGCTATTTAATCTATACTATTAATTAAATAATTACCGCCCGTATTTATGCCTAATCATATCTATAGCTACATACCCAACAATTTAATTTTTATATTAATATGAAAGATATAAAAATAAAACAAAATGAAGTTAAAATTAAAACTTACACTTAATTAAATATCTTTTTAACTAGTCATCTTGACATTTATAGTTACTATAAATCTTAAAATATTCTCTGAGTTTTGGACTATCTCAATATTTTACACAATAATATTAACGTTCTTTTGAATTTGTATAATGAAAAATACAAATGTTTTTTTCATGCATGTGAAGCTACACAAAATGCACATAGATGATTAGCTCCTAAAAATAGTTAGCCAATTAAATGAATGTGTAACTTCACATGCGTAAAAAAAGAATAAAATTGTTTTATATTGCGATATCCAGTAAAAATTGTGATTTATTGTTTTCTGATCTTTTCGCAATTTTTACAGGTCCCTGCCCCATTGAAAACCTACATTTTTGATACTCCTGCACCTACTTTTTTGATACACCTAAACATACTCTAAAATTTATATACTTTTTTACTAACTTTTACTATAATAATATGCAATCCTATTGGTTAATTTTAGGGTATATTTAGGTGTATCAAAAAAGTAGGCGTAGGTGTATCAAAAATGTAGGTTTTGCACCCCGTTATTAGATAATTTACTCACAGATCATCACATGACCTGAATATTTTTCGCCAGGTGATTATACCAGAAAGTCTATGGACACATACCAATTGCACGTACCTGACTTAGAAGTAAGTATATTAGCATGTAACTAGTTTTTAGATTTATAATAGGTGCGTGCAAATTACGTGAATTGGTATGTATCTATAACTACCCCAAAAACACTACCAAAAAAATTTTCAAAACGTGACCAAAAGCCAATCATGGTTGAGAATCAGGTGTAATGTAATACTAATGTCACATGATCAGAAAAATTAAAAACAGACATTTTTTTTACTAAAACTTGCCCATAACTCAAAAATCTGCATAAGAAACCATCTTTAGTGCTTTAATAAAAAGTTTTCCTTGAGCAATTTTACTATATATTTTGTTAATATTAAACTCAAAAACAAATGCTAACCCTAATATTAACAAACTTTTAAGAATTTTGTTATCAAAAAATTTTTGGTGGTGCTCTTGGGGTAGTTATGTGTCTATAGACTGTTTGGATTATACTGACACAGCAAGATATAACTATTTGTACAGCAAAATGGCCAGTATTAAACTAATTAACATAGTATGACTGGCATTAGAGTTAGGTTAGCATTAAGTATAGACAGAATTAGTTACGTGCCTATTGTGTTGGTATAATCAGCCTTTTTGCTGGGAAATTATAATAATACAGCATGCACATGACTTATCTACATTATCAGCACAGCAAATGATACATCAATCTTCTTAAAACTTTGAATGAAGATACCTTAACAACCATCAAATCAAATTTGATGAATATTTATTATTTTATATTTAAAGGCTTGTAGAATTAAATAAAAAAATTTTTATTGAATTTGCTTTGATGGTTGTCAAGATATTTTTATTCAAAGTGATAAAGAATTAAGATGTCTATTAAGTAGAAATAGAAAATTTTGACTTTAAATAAAGGTATCTCAACAGCTATTAAAGCAAATTTAATAAACTAATTTTTTTTAATTCTACTGAATTGTAGAATTAAAATAGAAAAAGATTATTAATTTTGCTTAGGTGATTGTCAAGATATCTTCATTCAAAGTTTGGTAAAAACTAAAATATCTCAAGAAAATTTTAGAAACTTTGAATAAAAATATCCTTACAACCACTTAAGAAAATTCGCTAAACTTTTTTTAAAAATGTTTCATATCTTCATTCAAAGTTTGGTAAAAACTAAAATATCTTAAGAAAATTTTAGAAACTTTGAATAAAAATATCCTTACAACCACTTAAGAAAATTTGCTGAACTTTTTTAAAAATGTTTTCATTTAAAGTTTCTAAAAAAATTATCTGCTTTTATTTAATAAATATTTTAGTTTTTACTAAACTTTGAATAAGATATTTTGACAATCTCCTAAGCAAAATATTATTTTTTATTTTAACTCTACAAGTCAATAAAATTAAAAAAAATATAAATTCATTGAATTTGCTTTAGTTATTGTCAAGATATTTTTGTTTAAAGTCAAAATTTTTATCTCTATTTAATAAATTTTTAATTATTTACCAAACTTTGAACAAAGATATCTTAACAACTATCAAAGCAATTTGATAAAATTTTTGTTATTTTAATTCTACATGCCTTTAAATTTAAATAATAAAAATTTATCAAATTTGTTTTGATGGTTGTTAAGGTATCTTTGTTCAAAGTTTTAAGAAAATTGATATACTTGTATCAATTATTTGCTATACCAATAATATAGATAAGTAATATACATATTGTGTCATTATAATTTTTTTTTGCTATGGCTAGAGTATTTTTTTTTGATTGTGTAATATTATACCAGATCAAGATTCTTTATTAGCTAATTTTTGTAGATTATCATATGATCAGAAAAATTTGTTATAAATTTTGTTAATGATATTGGGTAGTTTTAGTGTTCTGATCTAAATATGTATCATTCTAGTTACCTATAGGTAAGCTGGTAACTCAAATTGAGTTGTGACTAGTGATAATTTGCTTATATATATGAAAATATTTTAGAATTTTCAAAATATTTCAGAATTTCATAATTCTGGCCCATATTAGCACTAAGTTACTATAATACAAACCAGAATTCTATGTATATAATGCACATGATATGCATCATGCATATAAAATATGAAAGACTAATTTTTCTATCACTAGTTGTAACTACTTAGGTAGTCAACCTGTGGGTCATATATAAGTCAACCTATAGATCATCTATTGAAAGAATTTTCAAAGTTGCTTATTTATTAGTTTTTTTGCAAGTATTATAATATAAAAGCAAAGAAGAATAGAGTTTATACTAAAGTAATCCAGGTTAAATATCTACAATTTATATTAAAATATAAATATAATATGCATTATAGCTATAAACTGACAAAACTAGTAATGTTTATTTGGTTGAATTTTGAATTTGGTATTATAAGATCAAATTTTGCAAGTTACAGTATTCTTTAGATCAGATATCTTTATTAAACAAATATAAAAAAATGAGAATGCTATTTGTTATTTTGTATATTCTACTATCAAAAATATTAATAATAATAATATATATAAATATCTGTAAGTTTTACAGAAAATAATATATTAAACCAATTTTTATTCTAATCTCCTGACAATATAATTATCTAAAAAAACCAGCTGAACTCTTAGTTATCTTAAATTACTTTATTGTTGCTTATGTTATTGGGAATTACAAAATTAATTTTTATTTAGAAGTTGTAAAATTAATAAAAAATTATATATATTTTTTAACTTTGGCAGCCTCACTAATATCTTTATTAAGTCTAAATATATATATACCAATATATATTATACTCTTAAATTATAGATCTTATATCTCCTAGCTACTTTTATAAGTATCTAAAAGTGGTTTGACATACTAGTTAAGGCAAAGCCTATAATAAAAGGTTTATCAAATTAGCCTGTAAGACTATACCAAAATAGGTTTAAATTATTTAAATAAAATTTTTTATAAAATCAAATTAAATTTCTTTTTTTTATTTTTACTTCTTTTCTTTTCTTTGCCTTTTTTCTTAACTTTTTTTTGGTTTAGTCTTGACTATTACTATTTATAATTATGTATATTTTATTTAAAAAAATTTTTTAGAATTATAATCAAAAAGTTATTTATATTTTTAAAATTTTTTATATAATATATAATATTTTTTTTATATATAGATGTATTTGTAGGATACATTAAATTTGTTGTATCTATTATTTTGATTACAATAATATTGATATTGTTTATATTAGGTTAGAGTTAGGATGAGAACTATATTAGGGTTTGGGTTTAGACAGTTATATAGTAAAATTACTCAAGAAAAACTTTTTATTAATGTACAGTATATAGTTTGATATGCAATTTCTTGTAAAATAAGTAATTTTTGTCAAAATAGACATTTGTTTTGAA